TGAACCTTGCATGTTCAGCTGTGAAATCATTGTAGTTTGGCTGGTAAATTTTAGCAGGTGGTGAAACATGACAGTAAGACTTTGCAGAGGGCTCCTTTTGATTATGATGACTACAGAGAAAAACACTTTGTCAGGTCTTCTTTTTTCCGTTTCTGTCAGATAAATGTAACAGGGCCACTGTGCTAAACTGCGGTGCTTCTGACTAGCAACATTGTCAAACTGAGGTTCTTTGTTAGGAAGCAGCTAGTGTAACAGACTTTCTTTCTTTTCTGAAAGCATTCTGGCACCAGCATCGCCCTTCTGAGATCACAGCTATGTCTGCCATCTTTTTTCACGAGTGTATTCATTAAACTGATTAGGCTGTGCTGTACTTCAACATTCAGTAGCTGCTCAGTAGTCACACCAGCAAGATGAAGGCAAGTTGTGAATTTCTCTCAGAATATTGTTCAAAGCCTCAGCACCTAACCCAGAGCATGATCTATAATGTAAGCTTCATGCAGATGAACAGTTATAAACAGGAAGTGTACTTTATGATTTTTGCATGTTGTATGTCTGCTACTGCTGCAGTTTAATCATTTATTGCACTTCGGTGACTCCGGTCGATAAAGACAAACACATGCGGACATCTCAACACACCAGTCTTTGGACACGGTTCAGAGGTGTGACTATGGAGATGAATGGCCTCAGCAGTGGCCAGTTTCAACCATTCACTCGATACAGTAATGAGTCTGAGGTTCCACCAGGCTGGTACTGCGTTGGACACTGGATGGTGAGTGCAGCAGCTTATGCCTCCAGTGCAACATCAGGTGCTACATTCTCATTAGGAGAAATAGCATGAAAGTCAGGTTTTCATCACACTTTATTTCTCACTTCTATATTTTACTGTCTGTAGGTAAAATAGGTCAACACTAAAATAATTTGTTGTTGTAACTCTCAAAAGCCTGTGTTCTTCCCAAGCACATCGCTCAAGTCCTTGTGTGTGCTGATCAGTTAAAAAGGACTTTAAATCCAGGGAGACACATTTTTCATCCTTTTGGAGATATAACAGTATTTATGGAATAATGAGGAGTCAGTGTGGAAAAACTCAATACAAAATTAGGATTTTAGAAAGTAGTCAGAATGATAGTGTGTCTCATAAAACAAATATCAGGGAGAAAGGCATGGCAAATTAATATTTGCACTCTATATATTCTGTTAATAATCACGGATGAGTTAATTTAACATTTATACATGTATTTTTGACTGTTTATCGCTTGAATCTTTAATTAAGACCCTGATGTTTCACTGCCAGACAGATTTCTCTAATACGCAAGCTGCACCTTTCAACTAGGTGTGAATAACATGGACAGCAACTCCAGAAAGAAACACAAAGCTTCAAATAAATGATGTAACAAATAATTTAAGCTTTTGCATAGTTAATGCATGAAAAGTCTGAAGGAACGGTACATTCTGCCAAATGGTGCTTTAGGAGTAGGCGTTTTGCTAACAGCGCGACCACACGTCAAATGAATTTGTAAATTTTGCCAGTTTTTTTCCTTAATTATGTTCTGTCTTAAGTGTTTATATCATTACCATACATGCCATATAATGTGTATGGTAACAGTTTTTTAAATTAAAATCTATAAAGTCTTTCCTAGTTTGTGGTTCCTGTGAGTAAAAAACTTGCATGTAAATGACAAAAGTACTGAATAACATAATCCTCCTTTGAACTATGATTTGATTGTGGTGATGCATAACATCTAATCATCTTTTTGGTTGACTATTCTCATCATTTTAAAAACAAGTTTCAAATAAAGCATCATTATTCTTGGCAGTTCCGCCCACTCGGTTGGCCTCCTAGGGAAATGGTGGTCAGCTTCAACTTCACTTCAATCATAATGAGCATAGCGCACTGAGAAGCCCCATCTTGTTAGATAATTGACAGCAAATATCAGCGAAGGGGACCAAGAGCATGTGCTTAACTCTATAGTGTGGCATATGCCACATCAAGCATGATGAGGCTCCTGCCACAGCATGTCACATCACTTTAACTGTGCTATTGAGGCTTCACAGCCTATTTGGAATGATTTCAGATGTTTGGTTCCACATGTGACAAAGTGTCTTGTCTGAAATCAGCCACCTTCTATAAATGTTCCCTCTCAGTCACCTCCACAGTCAAACTCAGGCAAGAGGTAAGTGTGACACCTAGCGTCACTCACAGTAATAACAGCTTATGATTAGAAAAGCCTTCCAAGAGAAAAGTGGGAATTAATCATACATAATTAGAGACACGAATTATAAACAATCCATCACTTTCATTAATACATCACAGTAATTTGAATAAACCCTGCTGCATGCTGTAACACGTACATTCGATGATTAAATTATTCACAAACCAACCTAAATTCCTTATACATGACCTCATTTGTGCTTTCCCAAGACATGCCATAAGAAAATAACTTTGTTATGTGCATAGGTAGCAACTAAAATATCTCACACATGCAGTTAGAACTATAAATCCTGAGGCCAAGTCAACAGGCGGTTAAGAAGTTTGTGCTCAACATCCTTGGCAGTTGAGGGCACCACTCTATATTGAATTCAGAAGGAGCCATGTGTCCTCAGACTTTCTGGTGGAGGGTGAAAACATACTATCTGGACAGATTGTTTTCGCAGTATGCTGAAAATTAATTGCAAGTAACAAATTAATTTCACGCTCTTGCTTTAGAATTAATTGCATCTTTACAGAACTGACTGGAAGTGATGGCTTGAGCAGCTCTGATAAGTGTGGACACAACAGTATATTCAATTATCTGGCTTATGGGTGCCATTGCTTTACATTGGGATGCACTTGATAATCCTTAAAAAAACTGTATATAACATTCTTGTTTGTTGTTTTTTTAATAGTGGCTAAGGTATTTTTATCGCACAGCTCCCATGGCTGGCAGACACCATATGTTAGGACAGCTGAGTGTATGGTTTTGTGCCGTAGGCAGAACTATTTATTTTTCACTATGTAGTGAAAGAGTGAGGACAAATAAGGCATTTCATTATATAAGGTCGCTAATGTCATGTTAAACTCTTTCCTCCCCAGTTCTCACTTTGAACTTGCATGATACATTTTACACTCGGCCCATGGGAAGCGCCTATAAATAAACTGTGTTAAATGATTTTTTGCTGCTGAAGTAATATTCACTCTGTTGTCTCCTTAGTCAGACAGTGCTAACAACACAACGAGAGCATGACCTACTATATCTGGAACCTGTTAAATATCTGGCCCCTGCTAAAAATCTGAATTGCATGAGTACTTCAAAAATAAAAATTTTGAATGGTTTCCTCTTTTCATTGCAGATTTCTGGAATACCAGTCATCCACAGGAGCTTTTGTTTATAATTTTTTAAAAAAAAATTATGCAATTAAAACAGTTGGTGAAGTATGGATAACAGAACTGCTGTCTGTGTTTAGAGGGTTTTTAGATATTTGGGTTAACTGCTTATTACCATCATTCAGGATTCTCCTAATTGGCCCCTGTGGGATACTGAGCAAAAAAAACCCTTGGTGTTCACATCACATTCATATCCTCCCATAATTCTGACAGTATTATTGTAATCTGTAGATAATATTGTATTTTTAACAAGATTCCAGTATTTCATCAGTCTGAGATTTAATTTCCCCATTTTCCTGCTCTCTGCTGTCATCTTTGATACTCATAATCACAATCACATGAAAGATGGTCTTTTCTAGACCTCATATTTCCTGTTTCATATTTCTTATTCATCACACTGGTGCATAATTTGCATGTTTTCATCAAAGGCTGGTGAATTGTTTACGGGCACCGGTGCTTTTTAAAATATTTTCCATAAAATGATCTGCCTATGGATGGTAAGATGAACTCATGGGGATTTCAATACATTTGTTATATAGTATCTGTGCAGAATAAGGCTAAGTGTGCTATCTCATTATTTTAAATGTTATTAATAGTTGGATCCTACAGTAAATTTCCTATTACTAGAAAATTGGTTTCAACGTATTGAGTTGCTGGCATGGAGAGGACTGGACAATATGGGATAAATATGGGAATAATGGGATATAGGATAATATGGGAAAGGCACGATGGCACTAAGTGCACCAACCTGATCTGCACAAGACTAAGTATTAGCAAGGAGGTGAGAAATGGGTTAGACTCTGCCCTTCAAGCTGTGCGAGCTCAGAGTGGTACACCCAGTAAATCATTCACCAGAGTGCACATGGGGATGAGCACAATGGATAACTTGTCTCTGGACTAAAATGCTTGTCTAAGTTCCTGTCAAAGTGCAGAGTCAAACCAACAAAAGGAAGCTTTTTTCCTTTTTTTAAGTGTTTATTTAAAAAAAGCTGTATCATGGTTCAAGACACAAGCAAATCCTTTAGTACATTTAATTGTTAGTTCACTTTAAAATACTTATGGTCTATTCAATAACAATTTTAGTTCATTAATCTTATTTGAAATTATTTTTTCCTTTAAATTAAACCTTATCTGATACAGTAGCAGTAGTTTCCTTAGAAACCAGGCACAATTAGAGCTTTAACATGCACACGTGGGGGCATCAGATCCCCTTTAATCAGCAGGTTCAAGGACATTTTTTCTGAACTTTCACTCTTCTTGTGGCTGGTTAGTCTTGTATTCAGACAGTTGCAGGCAGCGTCAGGCGCACCTGCTCCTCCCATTCACACCCTTGTGCCAACTTTCACAGAATTACTGTCAGAATGTTGCAAGAACCTAAATGATGCACAGTGTTGAAACTGTGCCCCACCGATGGCCAGGAGCTAGGATTTGGAAAAGCACCAGAAGTCAATCAACGTTAGTTTAAAACTGACAAATATTAAGAATTTAATTTGAATTGGCATTTTCATGTGAGATATTTAGAAAGGCAGCTGTAACTTTTCTTATTTCATTTAAGTATTTACTTTTATAAAGAGAAATCAAAACTCTGGAATTTAGCAAACAATTTAAAAGCTACACAAATGCAAAAATGTATCCTTTGTTGTAAAAAAAAGATTAGTAAAAAACCATAATACCCAAAGTTGTTACTAATTAATAGAAAAGCCCACAGCCATTTGTTGCATATATCAACACAGCAACCGTTATGAACCTGCCTAACAAGACTTTAAAGGCAAACAATGCATTAATACACAAGTATGTACAACTGACTGCATAGTTTTCAGTGCAAAACACTTTTACCAAAAATAAGCAAAGACAAAAACTAACAAAAAAAGCAGTGCAGAGCAGTGTGTGCACACACCGACACCACCTGCTTGTTCTTTTTTCTCATTCATGTTCAGGGGAATACCAAGCGTTCAGATCCCAGGCCTCTCTACATCCTGTCCAGAAAAACATAAACACCTCTACTGTGGAGCTTCATTGTTCACTTCTTTGTGCAGACGTCTGCTAGAGTTTTGAACTTTGGTCCGAGAGTGTTTAGGAACTCGAGGCTATCGTTGTCGCCGAAGTCGCTGCAGCAGCCCACAGAGCCAGCTGCAGAGCCCACCCCCTCGAACCCATAGGAGTGGATGATGTCGTCTGCGTACCGTCCATCATGTTCTCCTCCCAGATAGGGCAGCTTCTGCAAGGCAAAGCGGAAAGGAGAGGAAGCATGTTATTACCCCAAGTGGACTAAGCCTGGGCGATGGGAGGGCAGAGACTACACCGTGTTAATACAAAGCTGTTCAGGATATGACTGGCAGTCAGGTATTACACAGCGAACAAACAAATTCCCAATGAGTTCAAAAAATAATATTTCTCACCAAGACGTTAAGAAATATTAAAGTTTGCAGAGGATACTATCACAGCTTACAGAACAAGATTATATTCCATGTGAGTGTTACCTTAACTTTACAGAGGACAAAAGTTATTAAACCTCAGAGAATAAATGGAATAACTTCCTATACTAACATTCATTCTTAGACATATTTAATATATATTAAAAAGTTACAGTGGTGTGAAAAAGTATTTGCCCCCTTACTGATTTCTTATCTTTTTGCATGTTTGTCACACTGTAATGTTTCAGATCATCAAACAAATTTAAATATTAGTCAACGATAACACAAGTAAACACATCATGCAGTTTTTAAATGAAGGTTTTTATTATTAAGGGAAAACAAAATCCAAAACTACAAAGCCCTGTGTGAATAAGTGTTTGCCCCCTAAACCGAATAACTGGTTGGGCCACCCTTAGCAGCAACAACTGCAATCAAGCGTTTTCGATAACTTGCCATGAGTCTGCCACAGCGCTGTGGAGGAATTTTGGCCCACTCATCTTTGCAGAAGTGTTGTAAGTCAGCCACATTGGAGGGTTTTCGGGCATGAACTGCCTTTTTAAGGTCATGCCACACCATCTCAATTGGATTCAGGTCAGGACTTTGACTAGGCCACTCCAAAGTCTTCATGTTGTTTTTCTTCAGCCATTCAGAAGTGGACTTGCTGGTGTGCTTTGGATCATTGTCCTGCTGCAGAACCCAAGTTCGCTTCAGCTTGAGGTCACAAACGGATGGCCGGACATTCTCCTTCAGGATATTTTGGTACACAGCAGAATTCATGGTTCCACTTATCACAGCATGTCTTCCAGGGCCTGAAGCAGCAAAACAGCCCCAGACCATCACACTACCACCACCATATTTTACTGTTGGTATGATGTTCTTTTTCTGAAATGCAGTGTTACTTTTACGCCACACATAATGGGACACACACCTTCCAAAAAGTTCAACTTTTGGCTGTAGATAGAGGCCATTTGTTTGCCAGGTATGAAAAAATGATGAGTCCTGGACAAGATGTCTGCTGTCAAAGCCCATGCCGCCGCCGCCTCCACCATGACCTGTCAGCTGATCATAGTGGCTCCCATGGTGGCTAGAAAAGAAGTCCTGCATATCGACACCAGATTTATACATCCCATTCTCTTGTACACTGTGCCCACCGAGTCCGGTCATGTTCTTGGTGTCCTGCCATCCTGAATTCAGGCCTGTGTTCTTTTCAAAAGGGAGGACGGTGATGAGAGTAGGGTCCTGTAGAGCAAAACAACAGAAGGAAAACAACAAATAAATAAATGAAGCCACAAAAGCTCAAACAAAAAAAATGCTGCTGCTATACAAAGTGTTATTACAAGAATAAAAGCCCGGGCAATGCTTTCATTATTACAGCCTTACCACTTCCTCCCCTCGGCCCTCAGTGTTTGATTTGAGCAGGATTCCACCGCCGTCTCCTGCATCTTCAAGCTCAATCTTGTCTCCCTTTGTCCTACAGAAAAAGGCGAGGAGTATGCCTGCAATAACAAAGTGTGTTAGAGATTTGCGTGTATTTTTGTAATAAGCGGTGCTACATGTGTGGTAAGCATCACAACAGCGAGCATAATAGCATTATATTGTGTGCTGTAGAATACTTCTTTAAGTATCTTCGCTCAATTCCCAACGTAAAAAAGAACCTACAACTATCGATCACTCTTCCTACTTCAGTATCTACACAGTGTAGCCTACATGATTTTGGTGGCAAGATTACGGCGGTGGGGAACTCACAGAGCAGTAGGAGAAGTGCCAGAGGCAACAGCATAGCCAGTAGAGCCAGCGGCCCTAATGATATAGAGCTTGGCCTGTCCTTGCAGACTCCATTAACGCAGTTGCAGATCCTTACTTTCACCGTCTGTTTATCACCAAAGCCCTGCAGATCTTTAATGACCACGGGAACACTGTATATCCCCGTAGGAAGATCCTGGATCTGATTCAATGTGGCTGTTGTGTCTGAGGAGAAAATGTGTAAAAATAATGATGAGTCACGTTTCTCTAAGGATTCACCGCACAACACTGGTATTAAGTGTTTGCCCAAAGATGTCATTTTGTTCAAATATTTATCGGGTCAGCCCAAAAAGGTCAAACTGAAACTACAGAAGTGGTTATGATCACTAATAGAATAAAACTGTGTGTAAACACATTTAAACAAGACCAAAACCACATCAAAACATTTAGGGTGTACAGTTTGTTTTAAGCATTTTTTTCATAAATCTACTCATACACTCAAGTCCTAAGTAGTGGTAGTGGAAGAAGAACTCAAATCTTTTACTTCAGTAAAAGTAGCAAGACCACAATGTAAAAATACTGTTACAAGTAAAAGTCCTGCATTGAAAAGGTTCTTAAAAGTACAAAAGTATTAGCATCACAACATACTGAAAGTACTAAGAGTACTCATTCTACAGAATAGCACATTTAATATTATGTAATCATATTATTTGATTTTAACTACTGATGCATTATTGTGCACATCACATATGTTGCAGCTGGTGAAGAGGGAGCTAGTTTTAACCATCTTAGATGCTTAGAATTTGAATTACAGCTGATTAGCTTATGAATTTTCCACCAGGGATAAATAAAGTCTTATAATTATACTGTATTTTTATACTTATCTGGTTCTGAAACATAAATAGTAACTAATGTTATTTTAAAAAATGGAGTCAAAGTTACAATATTTCCCTCTAGAATGTAGTGAAGTCAAAGTATGAAGTAGCAAAAAAATGAAAATGCTCAATTGCAGATACCTCAAAACTGTACATAAGTATAGTACTTGGTTACTTTCCATCACTGCCTAATAACAAATTGGCCAGCAGATACTTCATGTCAGTTAACAGTAAGAAAATGCAGTAGAAAAGAGATATTTGCAGCAATTTAGAAACCGTGTCAGCACTGCATATTTTGTCCACCAGGGGACAGAATTGTATTTACAACTGTAAAATGTCCCACTCAGTATACAAGATACCATGGTAACAGTTATGCTTTTGAAGGCTTCCCAAAATATATATACATATAAAAAGGTGTTTAAAGCCCCTTTTCCACCGCCTGGTACCGACTTGACTCAACTCAATTGCTTTTCCATCTGTCAAATGTTGGAAATAGTACCTGCTACTATTTTTGGTATCATCTCCATTGAGGTTTCAAGCAAGGTGAAGCAATACCAAACGGTGACGTGTAAACACTGTAGTCTACCGACTGGTGAGAGGACCATGCAGCCGTCTTGCCACTGATGAACTCAACACTGATGTTTACATGTGATGACACCAGTCACTCAGTGACGTGCGGTGAGGTTGACAGCTGGTGAGGCACTGACTCTTTTAGTCAGATTTACAAATACAAATGAACCGTTAACAAATTGTCTGTTAACAAACAATGCGTTATGTTTTATATCTCATATCAGCATTCTTCACACAAACGTGACCCATATTTAATTTGAGGTTAAAATTTATTCCAATTGAGCTTATTTCTAACTAGAAATAATAAAAGTTTATGGTCTTACCTTTACTTGTACACGAAATCCATTTGTCAGCTGGTATGTATTACAAACCCTTTTACCGTTCAAATCCAATATTAAAACAAATGTTTTCAATAAAGAAGATCCTTCTGGACAAAAATGTCCAAGCAGGCGTACTGTTTGCCTCACCGAGTAACTTTTTTACTGGGTTTTATGGTTAATCTGCGAGCCTAAACACGTTACAGAACTACATTTTATACATTATCCAGATTATGGCAAGGCAGAGCATATAATCAGAGTGTTTGAAAGCATTTTATTTGCGATATATAGAGGGACAGCGACACACTATTTGCATCGCATACAGTTTGTGAGGATTACACAATCCACCGAGAGGCACAGCAAAGTGCTGCCTCATCGGGCATCTCCTCCATGTATTTGAATGGGACATACGGAAAATCTGCTATTCTTTATTGAAAAAAATTCCTTTAACATCGGATTCGAACGGCAAAAGGCCCTACAACACACACCAGCCGACAAATATTAACATTTATTATATTTTATGGTTAACTGGTTTTTTCTTTTCAAGATTGACAAGGGAGGCTCTGCCTCACCTGCCTCCCCTGACCGCACGTCACTGCAGTCACTCATTCATAATAGTAGCTGTCACTTATACGGGGTAAAAAAAATGGCGACAGAGGGGCTGGGGGGATTATCTGCAGTAAGAAACAAAGCACCTGGAACTAAAAATGATTTGAGTCGAGTTGAGCTGGTACCAGGCAGCGGAAAAGGGGGTTTAGATAGTGAAGTGGGCGACTGTGGTTCAGTGTGTAGAGCAGGTACCTCCCAACCGGATGGTTGGAGGTTCAAATCACAGTTACTGCAGTCCACATGTCATTAGGCAAGACACTGAACCCCCAAGTTGCCCCTGATGGTTAGAGCCATCAGTGTGAGTTGGCGCCACAGATGGCTGCCTTGTTTCTGTAGTGGAAACAAATTCCTTGTGTGTGTGTAACATGCTTGGTCAAATAGAGGTGATTATTATACTTAAGATACCAATGAATTACTGAGCTCTGGATTGTGTTGTGCAAGCAGTTAGTAGTAACATTTTTTTCAATAATAGTCTTAACGTCTCTAAGTATTCAGGCTGATGTCCTATTAAGCATTTTCTCCTTCAGATAGAGACAGATCAAATGTGTAAAAATACAGCCACCTACCGTTCAGTCTTGTCACAGACCATTTGCCGTCCTTATCAGTTGGCAAACTAAAGGTGAATGGGGCAGAAAAGGGTGGCTGGTCTTTGTCTTCAGCCACAACCAGCACAGAGCCAAACTTCCCTTGCGTCTCACATATCACCAGATCACTTATGGGGACCACTGGAATGTTGTCGTTCTCATCTTCCACCTGAAGGATGACCTTTCCCATGCCTGTCTTGGACGCTAAAATAAATGTCACATTAATGCGCATGTTAAGACAAATTTGAACATATCCGTACTGAGAACAAACATGACGGACCCAGTTGGTCACATTCTGGTGTCACTGGGGCGTCAGTTAAATGGGATTTTCAAAATCTGATGAGCATCTGGGGTGAGAGCCTATTTTTCACCAGCATACCAGAGAACTGTGAGTCATTGCAGAGGACTACTCACATTGGATATGTGAACAGGTTTTCTCAGGTGAAACAAAACACTGGCAAAGCTGGCTATTTGTTCAGACAGATACTGGTTAGGGTGGAGCTGGCGTCTTTAATTACCTTCTGCTGGTGTAACAGTACCATCAGAGGTGTGAGAATGATACATGTCACCTTTAGTGATTTGACATACAGACGAAACATTTTCCCAAACCACAGTTTTCTTGGTGACATTGTGATGGAGATTTGTCAGACCCAATGGAGACACTGAGTTTATAAAACAGGTACATGTGAAGAAATAATTTGGCAACAGTGTTTGCCTTTATCAGTCCATAAGGGTCAGCAGAAACAAGTGTCAAAGAATGGGAGATATACCTGAGCTACTACAGCATTTATGAGCAACTTACTGGAATCAACAGCCTTCATGGTGATGTTGTAGATTCCATCCTGGACAAAGTTTGACTCTCTGTCGATTGTGTTTGCAACCCTCAGCTCTCCGGTATTTTTGTCGACACTGATCCAGGAGGCTGGGTCTGTGACCTTGTAATACCTGTGAGGCAGTGGAAAAAGTACTTTTGTATTACTAGCAAACTCCTCAGTGTGCCCTCCAGGGTTCTCGAAAAGTAGCATAAACTTGAGGAAAGTTCATTTCTTTAAGACAAATTTGAGTAAAATTATATACTTGATGCCATCACTGCTCTTGGTCTCAGGATCTGAAGCTGTGTAGGTTCCTATGAGAGTGTTGTTGGGTACGTTCTCTTTGACGATGAAGCGGATAGTAGGAGCTGTGAATTCTGGACCTTCATCGACATCAATGACATTGACATTCACAGGGATGGATGACCATTGGGCTGTGGTGCCTGTCAGCTCAGCTACATTGCGTGCCATAACGTCAAGCTTTATGCTTTTGGTTTTCTCATAATCTAAGGGCTGGAAAACAGGGAGAGAGTGTGTTCTTATTAATAAATCTACTGTCACTGCTGTGTTATGGGTTTTGACTTTCCATAAGTTGTCTACTGTGTCATAGTTGTACTACTACTAATAATAATAATACACAATCTTACTTACTTTTGAGACGTACAGAAGTCCGTCATTTGTTTTCGGATCGGTATCAATCCTGAAATTTCCATTTTCATTTCCTTTGGTGATGACAAATTTAGAAACCCAGTTTGGGGTGTTTATTAAATCCCTGTCTACAACAGGAATTCGAAGTATAAGTTTTTCACTTTCATTTTCTGGGACACTGGCTTCATACTAAAAGGGAAACAAGTTTAAAACACCTGTTATGCTTCTTTTAATTGTGACAAAACACTGTTTCAATATGTGCCATCTGTAGATGTCTTTAATTGCTAACCACTTACAGATGTTTTTGTGAAAGTTGGTGGGTTGTCGTTGATATCACCCACAGTAATGGTTGCCGTTCCCGTGGTGGACAGACCATCACTTGCACCGAACATATCTTGGAGTTGTACGATCACCAACTGTTTTTCTTTGTCCTTAAGGATGTGACAAAATGGTATGAGAAAAGATGAATAATGAAGATGTTAAAAGACAGCATAAGCTCAATATAAAGCATTTATATCATCTCATTTCTATATTGTATTTCTGAGTAAATTATTAAGGCAATGTTGGTGGAGCTCACCTCTCTGTCCAAAGTGTTAGTTACTGTGGTGATGACACCTGTTTCTGGATGGATGGCAAACAGGTCTGTTCCACTCAAGAGAGTATACTTTATCTTTGTGCGGAAGGTGTTCTCTTCGTCTTTGTCTGTACCGTTCACTTGACCTACCACTGTTCCTGTGGTGTCACGCATGACCACTGAGTTTATCATCAAGTATGCAGAAGGTCAGCATTACTACTTTGTATTTCCTGTTCCTTACCTGGGTTGCTTTGCTCGAGCACAGTAAACTGCAATGAGTCTTTGAATTCCGGAGCATTATCGTTCTTGTCAAGCACATTTATTGCAAGATCCAAAGGCTGGTCTGATTGTTGATTTGTTCGTCTGCTGAAAGCACTGACAATTACCTATGAAAGAAAAATAAGTCAGGTTTGCAAATGTTAACATGCAAATATACTAAGAATGTCTAGCACTTAAAAGGTTCAATCAGCGTACAGTTATGACTGAAAATTATTCTGAAACGATTTAATATCTTCAACCAGTTTATAACACTGTATAGACCAGACAATGAATCGGTAAGGAAAATAAATGTTAATGGCAGCTAGAGTTCACACTCACTATAAACTTCGGGATTTTCTCACGATCAATTGTTTGGTGCACATACAATATTCCAGTTTCACGGTCAAGGGTGAAAAAACCCTGATCAACACCAGGTCCACTGATTTCGTAGTACACAGGTTCCTTGGCTTCCGAATCTGATCTGATCTACAACAGAAACCAAATAAGTTCATATAAATAAACAAGTATTATGGTATTCATAAACCATCTAGCTGAGGCAACCAACCCTCTGTGAACTCTTTCAGCTTGTAATACTGAAATAGATGTGTGTGTGTGTGTGTGTGTGTGTGTGCGGTGGTGGTGGTGGGGTGACTCCATGATATCTTTAGGCAGATTCAAATACACTGGTAACCCAGATGAAAAGAATATCAAATGAATTAATCCCTATATAAAGCCATGTCATAATAGATATGTGTGGGTGTCAATCAGATGAAAGAGGTGTGAGAAAGTGCAGCAGGAGGAACAGCAGAATTTGTACATTTGTGTTGCCAATAAAGACCTAACATTCATGTATTGTAAAGCCAACATACATTACACAAAGCTTATGTGTTCCAGATAAAACTTACCGTTTCGACGGCTTTTGGAAAAGGCCCAAGATCATTCTCAGGTATCTCGAGAGGTGGCGGACTCCACCTTCTTTTAGTGCGCTTCAGGATACCTGTGCGCTGTGACACGCCAATGGGTCAGGGAGTTAGAAGGTCCATTACCATTTTGAACTTTAAACGCATTAAAATACAGCCACAGCAAGTATTACCTCTTTCTTCTGCGGTGCGATGGCAAGATGAACTTCCAGCTCACTTTCCCGTCCAGTGTTGTCTTCAGCCAACACAGAAAATGTCCGCCCTCTTGTTGTCACCGATACCTCAGCTACAGCTACTATCGCTCCGTCACTCCTTACTGTAAAACTTGGGTCCTTCGAAATTAAGTGGAATTGTTCGTAGTAACAGTCGGTGAGGTCAACTGAAAACCGAGAAAGGGAACAGATGAACAAGCTAAAACAATAGGCATGCAAAGGATACAAAGGGTTACTCATTAAATAATGCAGCAGTCTACCTTTTGCGACTTTGTATCCAGGCTTTATTTTTGTTGGCACAGTTGCGTCGATAGACTTCTGGATAAAACACGACTGCGCACAGGGCAGGATCTGGAGGACAGTGTCGTTCTTATAGTGAGTTTCAAATACGGTTAACGCATTTAAAGTTCAATGTTAATTATTAAAAAAGTGTCAAATTTTACCAACAGCTTTTTAACTTTCGCTCCAACTATTACACCGTGAGTGTAATAGTTGGAGCGCTTAACACGGTTGCTCGGTGTTCGGTTAAAAATACATGACTACTTTTGTTTTAGCACAGATTAGAAAAAAACTGGATGCAAGCTACTTACCAACATCAAGCAGATGCTGAAAAATTTAACATTCGCCATTTTTGGGGAACTTTTCGACAGACTTTGTCCTGGTCCGTAAGAGGAAGAGGGGACTCCCCCGAGAACGAACCTTTCCAAGTGACCGCTGATGGATTGGCGTCGGTCGTAAACGCTTAAAAGAAGAAAGCGGTCTATTCCTGCACTTGTGCTGTGTGAAGACAGCCAGACTTCCCTGTGAGCCGCGTTTCACTCACAACTGGCAGTGAGTCAAGGCACAGACACACCTTGGCCGCCCCACCCCAGTCTGAACCTCCCTGCTTGGTAGGATCCGCGGCAAAGCGCCTTTCTGCTGCGTTTAGTGTCGTGTTGCTATTGTACACAAAACGTCAACTCCTTAATGTTTGCATATAAGCATACATATATATATATATACATATTTCTGCCAGTAGGGGGAAACATTGCCTAAGACTTCTGCCAGCAAAAGTAATTCTGTAAGCAATAACTTATTTTAGGATGTTGCAAGGCATCAATAAAATGCCTATAAGAGCACTGCAGAATCTTACAGGAATATTTACGTGATTTCTACTGAAGCTGAGCAGGTGCTCAAGGCTGTAGCCTATGAGGGACAGGGGAATCGTTTGTGCCTTGGGGGTGGGAGTGTATTGTATTTACATCTGTGATAATTAATTTGTTTGCCTGTCTGTTTGTTTTTCAGAGAAGCCTCACCCAAATCTACACAGAGATTAACCCCTGTAGGTTGCCCCTTCTCTGGTCTCTGTGGCTGCACTGAAACATGCTGGTTGGAGGAAGAGAACCGAGCTCCTCATTCAACACCACAGGAATGTGATTGTGAAGGAAGCCTGTTGTGGGAGAGGCACTGCTCCCACAGCGAAGTGCTCACTATCTCTTCTAAACTGCTGATAAAAACAAGAGCAGTCAAAGCCAGTAATGTCAGGCCTGGATCCTTTATTAGATGTGCCACTTTAGTCATGTGTAATGGTGTAGACCTGTTTAAAAATTGTAAGGGGAAGTGAGGCTATGTGGTGCTGCAACAGGAAAGGTGAGAAAAATGTCAGGAAGACCACTGCTGTGAGTCATGGGCGAGGACATAATGAAAGAGATTGGGGCTGGAAGTCTTAACAGTAAACTCAAGATACATTCAGCAAAATCTACCCTCCTGTGTTACTCCCAAATTACAGCGAAAGTGGATTATCATTGTGTACAGAGTGTAAGATGACACATAAACAGGTTCTGTCCTGTTTGTGCTCATTGTGACACTGTGTCTGACCTTTCTCCCCCACACTGTCCACTCACTGTGATAAAATTAGTCACAACAGATGTTTTAGGTCCTGTAAATAACAAAAGTATCATTTCTCAGGAATACTTTTAAGACATAACTTTAAACGTCCAAGCAGTTGCATAAAAATGTTTTTTAACATTATATCATAAAATAATTTTATTGCAAGGTGTATTTTGTCTTTTAAACATCTGCTTCCTGTTATTATCTACTGTACTTGGTGTATTTTGTCTTTTAAACAACTGCTTCCTGTTATTATCTACTGTACTTGGTGTATCTGTGATTTAGCAAAATGTATTTTGAAGCAAACCACCAGTTGACATCTACAAATTGTGTTTGTCTTGATGCAACATAAATACCAAAAGGCTCATACCAGATGTTTTCTGATAACACATTTAAAAGGTGCAAATGCTGTAACAGATCCAGTTGTTCAGTTTGACAGATGTGTGTGACCTTGAAGTAAAAGTTCTAAAACAGCCGCTCCACCCATGTCACCACTCCTTTTGGATCAGTGCCAAATGAGAAGCAAGTTGGGACGTTCGTGTCATATGTGAAGGGTGAAACAAGTTTCTCTGGACTCCAGACTAATGTGACTAATAGCCGTCACACTAATAGCTTGGGGCGGGGGGCAGGTTTTCACAGGGTGGGTGGTGTCAGTGTGATCTTACAATAGCAATGAATTTCACAATATTTTCAAACAAGTACACTTAGTACACTGCTGCTTTCTGCTATGAGACAAACATATGGTGTCTCACATACAGTAACATAGTATTACACTGAGGCAGCTCTGACTTCGGTGCAAACTCATGTTCTGCAGACAGTACTGCAAGGTAGCACTGCTGCTAAGCAAGCCCAGTCGCACAGAGACTACTGAACGAACTACAAAATCCATCCAAAGAAACATGGGCTACTGCATGCACACATCCGTGCAGTTAACAGTACAAGACAGGCTATAAAATATGTACACATCAATGTGTGTGTGTCCATTATGGCATCTGAACTTCTAAAATAGCCTTGACTAGCACTGACTAGCAGTGAAACTACACAACTGATAAATGAAATATGCTAAAACACACACACACACAGTAGCTAATATAAAAGCACTAAACATAGCCTACTTTTAGAAGAGCTGAATTTGACGAGTCATGACATTGGATCTCTGTGATTGTTTCCTTCCTCTCATTGCGACACTTGAGCATTACCCTTCTCAAAGGCCAGATGAACGAGTGTGACCTTTCGGGTGTAGCAGTAGGGGCACCAAATTTTAAAGTGAGTTTCAGTGCCATCTACACACTTGGCATGGAAATGTATTCTATAAAATAAAATCATGCTTAACTACAATCAACAAATGGGTCACAGTAGTGTTGGGGGGGTGCCCTTGGGGGTATTAGAAACACTTCTCAGTATAACGCGATGCAATTTAACAGCACTCCAAATTCAACAAAAACTCACCATATTAACCATATTATTGAAAGCAACAGACCGTTTTCATCACTCGCAACCGAGTTTAAACTAAGGCACATACTCAAACCCACCCAGTGAATTGTTGATCTGAAGGGCCAACATAAACTATTGTTCAAGATGTTTCTCACACACCCGGGGAACCCAGGTCACATCAGTGATGATGAACCCCTGCACATCGAGACAATGTTTCTTTCACAGCACAGTCGGGACACTGAAGTGTTGCATTCTTCGTAAGGGTTTGGTTACTCAGATAGCACAGACATGACACACCCAGTTTATGTGACATTGTTTATACCATACTTATTCTGCTGCATTCTATAATAAACATTTTGAAAATGTCTGCTGGTCTTTAACATTTGAATCATCTAATATATCTCTGCCGAATTAATTCTATAATTATAGACGACTCTGAATTGCAGCAACATGTGAGCTGTCAGAAAAATACACAATACCTTGATGGAAAGTAATGCCACAATCAGGTGAGGTGATGTAGTTCCTCTCCAATGTACCTTTGACCACAGAGAGTCAAAGTTTCATGTATCTTGGCAACACAAACTCTCACTGTGCCAACAAACACCTTTTTTCCTGGTCTCTCTCTGCAAAACAAATGCAGCCCTGTGCACACATGCTCACGCAGGCAGTGTGCAGCTGTACATGTGGTGAACCCAGAAACAGAGATGTAGCCTTGGGAATTTCACATCTGAAGGTGAAGTTTTACAGTTGAGTAAAATGCCCCCCCCCCCAATAAAGCACATTACAGAGAAACACTTAAATTTAGACTGTAAAGTCCAGATAGAAATGTTATCTTATTTTATATCAGGCATTGTTTTTTTCCACAATAAACATGATTTCACACTCTCCAGCTCCAGATTCATCTGCCTGGTTCGGACGCATGCAGGTGCCAATTCTGGACAGATTTCATCTAAATTGGGCCGTTTTTCCTCCCTCCCTCAAAGCCAGGAGTGTTGAAGCATGAGAAACGTAGACACAACGGCCTCCTTTCTGCTCCTGTTATCGGCATTTGCTTGTGAGCAATCAAACACAGGGAGGACCCGCCCTGTGTTGCAAAAGCTCTTCCCACCCTCCGTGGGGTCAAAGTCTGTACGAAACCAACAACAGACCACAGACAGAGTCGAATAGGAGGGTTTTCACTTCAACTAGAGGAATACCGAGTTTATACAGTATTTATAAGATGGCTCTACTGCTGGAATGCAGAGTTTTGGTACTGTTGGCGTTCTTCTTAGCGGTGAGTACGCGATATGGGCCACAAGTTGTTAAATGTTTATTACACTGTTTGTAGAATAGCAGAACTTCAACAGGTGTGGCTCTTCTCCCTTCACGGTACTGAACTCATTGGGTACGTTTGAGTCTGTAGTTAAAGTTAACGTTACATGTAGTGAAATTAAAGGTTAACACACGGTCTCCGTGCGTATCCCACTCGCTGTGCTGGTCATGGAACAGCTCCAGCTCATGATTTATTCTTTTCAGCAGCGCGACTTTGTTTTTTATAGCAAGTTAGAGGAAGTTTTAGGCTTTTCGCGTAATTGAGATGTAGACTGTAACATGGAGGATGACATTATACGTGTCCCAACTGTATTGTAAAAAGAGAGCCCCCCCCCCCAAGTGCGAAACAGAGGATGACGTTCATATTTTTAATGTAAAAAACATGTAACTCTGACATCCCAAATGACCTTGCATTCTAATGACGTAGAAGGAGAATGTGTATCAGGAACAACGTGTGATTTTTGTAGTGACTGCACATTAATAACCATCTTTTTCCTCTCTGTTTACCTGCAGCTTGTTCCTGTGTGGGCAAAAGGAAATGGGCCAGTGTTACGCAGACAGAAAAGAGCATGGATCATAGCTCCCAAAAAGCTATTGGAGAACCACAATTATGGCTTTGATAATATTGCTAGAGTGTGTGATTTTATTTCTTTCTTAATAATTCTATTAAAACTGAATATCCCAAAACTTCACTTAGAATTATTTCCAAGTACATATGTTTACAGTCATGCAGCTATTTAATATAACCTACTGTAGATACAGCAACATTTAATCTCTTAAAATAATTACACTTATCAAGTAAATTGATTGTGTTTTCCACCTACTGGTTTTAACCGCAGGGTATTGTTTATCTGAAGTCTTAGCTTTTACTGAGTATGTGTGACAACAGCTTCCATCATAGCAGTGAGTCAGTACACGATGATGAATACATCTCTGTTCAGATGTTTCAACACACACACACACACACACACCTCTGTTTGGTGCGCTAAAGTTTATCTAGTTTGACATCTCAGCAGCAGTGCATGATACAGGTTAGAATTGTATTATTTGCTAACAACCAATAGTGCGGTTCTGCTCACCAAAGCAAGAAAACAGTTTGGATGCCAAACTTCAGCATAGCACATATATAATATATCACATGTGAAAGACAGTCAAGTGAAATTATGCCTTAAAGAACACAGCTTTAAAAAAGGATATTATAATGGAAACTTGCTGTAAACTTGACACTTTTCTATAATTATATTTCCAGATCAGGTGGATTCACTGTGTATTTGTTTTTTAGATTCGCTCGGATAAGGAGAACTTCACGAAGATCATATATGAATTAACAGGGCCTGGTGCGGGCGACACATTTCAAGTCGATCCTGACACTGGTTATGTGAAAATCTATGCCGTTCTGGACCGAGAAGAGATTGCCGCCTATCACGTAAGAGGACTTGCAAATCCTGTTTGTAAAATCTAAAGTCAACTCCTTGAATTTCACAGTGAAGATATGATAAAGTAGTTGTGATGTATTTTCTTGTAGTTAAAAGGCATAGCAAAATTCGCATCCAATAGAAGCTACGCTGAAAAGAATATCGACCTTAACATTACTGTTGTGGACGAGAATGACTGCCCGCCGGTCATTAAAGCACAGCAAGTTGGATATGTCAATGAATCCAGTGCGGCAGGTATTTAATGACATCTAAAGTATATTTGTGATATGGCTCTGGAAGACAGTGTTTTTACCTGCACTCAGTCAACGGTATAATTTGTGTTGGCAATTTCTAGGAACTGTTGTCATGAAGGTGATAGCCACTGATGCTGACCAAGAGGACACAGACCACTCCAAGATCTTCTATAGCATTGCGGAGCAGAGTATGGATAAGATGTTCTCAATCAACGCTCAGACCGGAGAGGTCTTTGTTCGACAGAATACTCTAGACAGGGAGGTGAGGTACTTTAGTGACTGCTTAAGTTTGAAATTCTTCATCTACAGCAAATGGCATTTATTGCAAATACAGGATAATACAACTCATAACACAGAAGTCAGATCAGTATTATAACAGTAAATCTCACTATCACACAATATTACATTTTCCATTAGCTCTTATGTTGGAGAATAGCAAATGTCATGCTCCATATTGTTTTTTGTGCTTATGTAAAATATTATGTTTTCCACCATAAATATAATTCTGTTACTTTTGGAACACAGTCAAAAAGAATCAGGCGTTTTGTATATTTTTAGTTTTATTTTACCAAATGTTAAGACTGAACTATGGTTCCCTTTATTAACAAATGTTATGGGAAAGGATAAACTGGAATGCATTTATCAGTGCATTATATCTGAGTTTTTTGCTTGTTTTCTTTAGACAAAAGATACGTACAAGTTAATTATTAAAGGCGCTGACCTGTTTGGACGGGCGGGAGGAAACACAGGAACCGGAGAGATTGTGGTAAAAATTCTGGACATAAATGACAATATTCCAACTCTGGAAAAAGAATCGGTAGGTGTGAGACAGTTAACACAAATAACACACCTACTGTTTTGTTTGTTTGCTTTTTTTTTTATAGTAACTGTTGTTTTAAAGCAACTGTTGATGTGCACTTCATTTGCAGTATGAAGGGAGCGTGGAGGAGAACACTGTCAATGTGGAGGTGATGAGGATCAAAGCCATTGATAAGGATCTGATTCACACTGACAACTGGCTGGCTGTCTATGAAATTGTTTCAGGGAATGAAGCAGGCTATTTCACTATTACTACAGATTCTGAGACCAATGAGGGAATTATCACAATTCACAAGGTAAAAGACTAGTTTCATTTTGAATGGACATATTTAAATACAGTAAAATGCAGAAAGTGATTGAGCAAGCAGAGTAACATTGCTATGAAAGCAAATGTGAGCTGCAATCCTGTGCATTATGCTTGAATGTACAGGCCCTGGACTATGAGGAGCTAAAGGCACTCAACTTGGAAGTGGAAGTTAATAACAAAGCTGGGTACAATTTTGGCAGTTCGTCTGTCATGGGGACCAGTTCGTCTGTCATGGGGACCACAGCCACCAAAAGATACCCTGTTAAAATCAATGTGATCAATCAGAAGGAAGGCCCTCGTTTCCAACCAACTGTCAAAGTGGTGCCTCTCTCTGAAGACATGTCCTCCACCTCCATCAATAAAATCATCACCACTTACTTTGCTATTGACAGTGACACACTCCAGAAAGCCACCAACGTATGGTACAGCCGCATAAAACACTGAGCAAATGAATAGACATGTCTTTATGTTTTAGAATGGATACATGTGTACTTTATTTTTATGTCCTCATATGGATTTTCACACATTCAGGTATAGAAAAAAACGTGATGATGACAACTGGTTGATTATTGATGAAAAGACAGCTGATATCAGGCTGAATAAACTGCCTGACAGGGAGTCCAAGTTCTTGGTCAATGGAACATATTATGCCGAAATTATATGCATCAACAATGGTGAGTTGTGTACATATGTAAAAAGTTGTCATTATTCCCCTATGGATGTACTGTCTGTGGCATACAACATGTTAATGTGAATTTCTCTTTTAATTGACTTACAGACATTCCCTCAAAGACTGCCACAGGGACCATAGCCATTCAGGTGGAGGACTTTAATGATCACTGTCCAAAACTGACCACTACAGCTCATACCATGTGCCTGGAGGATAATGTGATCTATGTGACAGCTGTAGATGAAGATGCGTTTCCAAATTCAGCACCGTTTGAGTTCAGTGTGATTCAGGAGAGCAGCAAGGGGAAATGGACAGTGGAGCATTTTAATGGTAAGACCATGTGAAGAGGACAGTTACTGCTTGGCAAAGTTCCAATACTACCCTGTTAAAAGGCCATTGTTCTTTGAGGTTTACATTAAAAGGGCTTCAGACAAAGGCAGCATTTAGCTCTAGTTTTGTAACTCCAAAACTTTAGGTTTCTAGAGACTCAGAAGAAAACTGCTGCTTAGTCTTTTTTGCTTTTGTTTTTTTAGTAATTTCATTGTACAAATATGTATTAACTCAAACATGTTTTCTATTGTTGCTACAAATAAATTGTTTTAAGCTCCAAACACACTCACTAGGGGTGTTTTGCTCATAGCAAAGCTGCACTTTGTCATCACTGTCATATCTTTTGTACTACACGTCACAGAAAGTACTTAATAATAGACTGCTTTATGTGGGTATTCCAGTTTCCAGACGCTGCAAGTTTAATTACTGGCATGGATTACTGGGATTCTCAAATCAAATACAACCAATAATAATGTTACCTACATCCATTTTTCCCTCAAAAGCCAACTAAAGGCCCATCCTGGCTTTATATTTAAAGAGCCTTATTACAAATTGCAAGGCATAAACAATCTTCATAACTTGTGCAGCAAATTTTAAAATTTGTCTTTCATCAGACACCACAGCCATTCTGCGAGACCAAGCCAACTTATGGCCAGGCAACTACAAAATAGCACTGTTGGTCAAGGACCAGCAAGGAAAGTCGTGCGCTGATGTTCAGGTGATGGACTTAACTGTGTGCGCTTGCCCAGAACACACTAAAAGTTGTATGGAGCGCATTTCGAAGACTGCAGGTTTTGGTGCTGCAGGTATCCTGCTTCTGCTCCTGGGACTGTTGCTGCTGCTACGTGAGTAGATTATTACTGGAATGTCTTTTCTTCTCCAGTTTCTTTTTTTTTTTTTTTTTTTTTTTTTTTTTTTACTGAGTCACTGGAGGCACCAATACAAGGTTGCCCAACCTGACATGTTGAAGCGTGCTAGACAGTGTGGGTGAATCACAGGCATTTTTGAAAAAGGCAGATCATGGCTCAATCATGCATAACCTTTGTTTGGTTAATTAAATCCATTCATTTTATAACAGTAAAGTATTTCTTAAGAATTTCTTCTGAAGTAGTGTCCATAAAGTATTTCTTAAGAATTTCTTTTGAAGTAGTGTCCATAAAGTATTTCTTAAGAATTTCTTTTGAAGTAGTGTCCAATGTGCATGTTTTTTAGTGGTGCCCCTGCTGCTGCTGTTCTGCCTGTGTGGAGGTACAGCAGCTATAGGAGATTTTAAAGCCATTCCATTTGATACGAAACAACAGCTGATTTCATATCACACTGAGGGGCAGGGAGAAGACAAGGTACTCTGATCAGTGTAGTATTGTTATCTGCTCATCTTATATAATGTTACAGGATTTTAGTTTTGAAACTGGGCTAATCAAATTTGCATCTCTGATGGGATTTCATATTTTTCTCATAGGACGTTCCTCTTCTACATGGCCCAATGGAAGTTGATATGGGTGCAATAAATGCCAATAACATAAATACATTTGAGTCAAAGCCATACACAGGAGGATTCTCTGAGATGGGAGCTGTAGGTGCTGGAGCAGGCCTTGGTAGTGCTATAAACACAGCTGAGAACATGCACATGTACAGCCAGTACAGAAACTTCAATGGGCAGGAGCAGATGAATTTCACCGGTGCAGGAACGATGGCAGGATACGGAGCGGGAGCCTTTGATGACATGGCTCTGTCGGATCAGTTCCTGGGGGAGTACTATTTAAGTGTAAGTCTATTATATTATTGATCATAATATGGTAAAACCTGGAATTTGGATGGTGAAAATAATAATTTAAATGAATAAAACATACATAGATTTCTTCATACACTATGTAAGGACAAGTAGAAGCTGTATTATACTAACAGAATTGATGTGCCATTGAAATGAAGTTTTGCTTCCATTTGTTTGCAGAAATCAATCCATGCTGCAGAACAATCCCAGGTGAAGGATGGTCTGATGATCTATAACTATGAGGGTCAGGAATCTCTAGCAGGTTCTGTAGGTTGCTGCAGCCTTCTTGAGGATGCCAATGATCTTGCATTCCTCAATGACCTGGGGCCTAAATTCAAAACCCTGGCTGAGATTTGTCAGGGATCAGCCTTAGTGACCGAGACTGTGGATGCAGGAGTTTCTGTCTCTCCACCCAGGCCCTCCACCCACACACATGTCCATACTCACACAGAAACAGTCAGGGACAGGGACCGTGTCAACATCAACACCCTCGACACCTCCAATGTGGCGTCTGGGTCCTCCACTATTGTCCAGGAGGAGCTCATCACTGAGAGAGCTCAGGGTTCAGCAACTGTTCCCAAGGTACATGTCCAGGACAAGATGATGATTCCCAGTCAGACACTACTCATACAGCAGCCTGCTATGTATTATGCGGCTGCCCCCATGTATGTAGTTGAACCCAACCCCCAAATGGTGCTTGTGGCAGGGGGCACCCAGCAGTCAGTTGGTCAAGTAGGTCAGGTTGGTCTAAGTCAGGGGCTGATGCAGGTTGGTGGCCTCCAAGGATCTCAGGGTGTGGTACTTGTCGATAGGCAGGTAGGAATGGGTGGAGTAACAGGGCAGGTAGGCCAGGGGCTGGTGCAGGTTGGTGGCCTCCAAGGATCTCAGGGTGTGGTACTTGTCGATAGGCAGGTAGGAATGGGTGGAGTAACAGGGCAGGTAGGCCAGGGGCTGGTGCAGGTTGGTGGCCTCCAAGGATCTCAGGGTGTGGTACTTGTCGATAGGCAGGTAGGAATGGGTGGAGTAACAGGGCAGGTAGGACAGGGGCTTTCAAAAGGGACCATCTCCAGTGCTAGACAAGTGCTGGTGGTGGAGAATGGGTCCTCGGGTGGAGGGCAAGGTGAACACCTAGCGCATGGCTTTGTTCAGACAGGACAGGGGCTTACAGAGCAGAGCTTGGGGGTCAAAGGTCAAGGCGTGCAGGTAAAATCTCAAACTTTTTCACTGGGTTCCCATGGTTCTACGGGCTCAAATGAGGACTTTGGGCTGACAGCCACACCCAAGTTGCAAGGGAGCCAGAGGGTGGTTGTGCAACATAAGAAGGTCTCAGTCACTGAGAAAAGAATTTAAACGAAAATATTTCACTATAGTCTCTATCCTAAAGTATAGAAGTATACATCTGTTCAGAAGATAGTTTAATTGTTGTAAAACTTGTAAACAGAGAGATTAGTCTGCTTGACCTACAGAGCAATTCTGTACTACTGCTGGTAGTACAGTGTATAAGATGTGGTATTGACTACACAACTATTGTGGCCATAAAAGGCACTGGATTGCTATACTAATACTAGGTAGACTAGTAAAATGACATTTGTTAATGCCAATAAGTGCACTCATTTCTTGTGTGCTACCTGTCAGCATTAGAAAATATATACTTTACACCAATAGGGTAACATTTGTTTTGTCCTAATTCTACTGTTACATTGTACTATTGGTGTAACAGCAGAATTAGGACAAAACAGATGTTTTTAAGTGGCATAATATGACTTCTGTCAGTATGCCTCAGTTGAGAACAAACCTTGAAAAAACATTAAGTGTGACTTTCCCACATCACAAGTGTGCATTAGTGCAAGTCTAATGTCAGATCAGTGAGTTCCTGCCTGCACTGGCTGCAGTTGGCTCTCTACCCCTGAAGGCTGCACCTAGGAACCAATCACCTGTCAGAACTCTCCTTGTACAATCAAAAACCACTCATAACACCCACAGCTGCAGCTCAGGGACATCCACACCAAAGTAAGAACAAAGAGACAAAACATTTAATGCACCAGTTCAAGGAGAGAAAGGTTATAGCTGTAACACTAGACAGCCAGTGTCAACAATTAGTCTTTAAAAGCAGTGATGGTATATATTATGAGTTTATTGTAATGGATGTGGAAATGGATGGTGGATAATGAGGTCATAATATATTTGAAGGCCAATACTCTTGTTGCTGGTACAGATCAATACCCTAAGTCCTACAGTTATTGTATGATCACTATACAATGGAGCTCACTTATTGCTCTTTTGGAAAGGAACAGCACAGATCATGGCTGTGCAGGTTTGTTTACAGCACCCATTTGTAAAAGAAACAACAAGAAAATGATTATTATAAGAGTGACTGAGGCAGAGGCGGAACAAAGTTTCTGAAGCTAGTATTATGATGTGTTTATCTATACAGTTTCAGTGATTCTGAAGATACCTGGTTTGCATTTTGCAGTATTTTACATGACTTTTAGATTGTTTTAGATCAGTTGTGCTGTAGGCAATAACGAACTCTTAAATGGGTTGTGGAATGTAAATGCTGATGAAAGCAGTACCTGCAGAAGAACCAAGCCCAAGGTGTTTGAATGATTTAGTGCTCCAAGAAGGTATCAGATTATTTTATCATTATACAACATAGTCAATATAGACCACAAACCACACAAGTGCTCTGTTATTGCACTCCTTATATCTTGTGCAGAATATTTGAGGGTTTTTCATGTTGTACTTTTACAGTAAGCCAAATCCTAACTCCAAAGGTTCCAAGTGCCAAAACGATCAACACTGTGCTCAATATACTGATGGCCCTATTTCTTTTGACTCTTTTGTTTTATTACAAATATGTATTGTGCCATAATTATCAGGTAGACTTTTAATGTTGTTTTTTACTGCATGTATGTGTGTAAAGGTAACATGGTTAAGCTTTCAATGCACTTAAAACATTTGATGGGACTGTTTGATAATACTGTTTTTGCTATACTTCTATTTTCATCTCTAGTTTCTAACGTGCTGTGTGAATATATTGTTTTAGAATACTAGACTACTAAAGCAGCGTGATAATTAGGATGTTTTTGGTTTTTAAGTTTTGTAACATTTATCAAAAAACAATAAAAAAATACTTTAACCTTTTTTTTTTCCTCCTGATTTCCCATTGTGACATTTAAGAGAATAGGAACATGCTATATACATAACCAGTACAGATGCTGTTGAGAATTCTTTACCAGAAATCAAACACTTGCATGTGGTTTCAAATGCATGGGTATAGTAGAAGCATACTGTGTGAGTGTTCAGTGTTTTATTTTAAAGAGACAGTTTTTCCAAATGCAATGTTTAGTCATCTTAACTTACAAGAAGAAAGGCATCATTCATATGTTTTCATAGTTATGTAAAACATTCTGCCTTCAGAAAGGCTAAAATTGCATTTAAAGGATGAACAACCTGTATGGAATTAGTATTTTGATTGTTATTCATCTTAATTATGAATTTCACTGAACAGAAGCAAATCTCTAATATTTCTAACTATCGTTTGCATGGTACAGATCTTTGTGACTGAGATGCACAAGAAAGCACAAAACAGATCACACACATTTCATGCTAACAGCACAATAACAAATACTAAACTCTACAGCTAAACAAAGGCACAAAAAGGAAATGGGAAATAAAAGTATATAGATGTAGTGAGTAGATAGCGAGGGATTAAACAGATGAAATGTCAGTTACTCTGAAAACCAGCAAATCAGAAATACAACAGAATATTTGTGAAGTGTCAATTTGTGCTATCAGGTATGAAATCAGCGGGTGAATCAAGTTGTGTGAAGGGTTTTGTGGAATTTTCTTGCACCCTGGGGAGTCTTTGTTGGGTCCAAATGAACCGTTGTGATGTATGTATCTGTATAGTGTTGTTGGACTGTGTGGAAGGCCTTACTTAAAGCTGAAAGGTGATGAATGAGTCGGTCATGCACAGTGAGAGATTTGATAGACAGGGTGCAAAGGAAAGCTTGGCTCTTGAGGCACACTGTATTACTTAAGAGTTCATAGAGATTATGTGCTCTGTACCTTTGTGTGGGTGTCCTGGCCACTCGTTTGGAGTGTTCTTGTTTGTGTCTCTGGGATGTGATGCACAGTGTGTCTCGATTATTCTTGCTGTTGCTGATGATAGCTTTCAAATGCTCTCCTACTTGAATGCAGATTTGTCTGCTGATCTACTTCATGTCATTGGTCTGTTTTTTTTAAGTCCTAAAAATCAAAGTAAGACTGAAATGTTTAAGTCAGTCTCTGTGGGTGACACGTTCCTCCAAGTGAGTTATGATGATAAGCTGATTTATTTAAGTGGTGTTTGCAGCCTACACTGGGACGCAGACCAGACATTCCAGGCTGGTGACTGTTGATGCCAAAGGGTTTGAAGGGTCAAAGGTGTCAGGGTATTATAACTGTTCTGTTTAAGCAGCCATACAGAGGAGGGGTCACTTACCTTGAATCCTGGTATCTGCTCTTTTAACTGACTTTCACCTTAATGGATTAGTATATACAGTATGTTATGTAAAGTAACAATGGAGGCAAATTTTGAAAATGGCCAGGGTGGTTTTAAATGAGATGCAGCTAGGCAAAAGCCTAGTTTTCAACCTTTTTTAATGGCATAGCTGTTCTCCCTTATGTCAGAGCAAAATCTTTATAAGAAATATATTTTGTTGCCTGTGGCTGTACACATTTCTCCTATCATATTTGGCTTATCCCATTTAGTGCTCTGTTTCCTACCCTGTGGAAGGACATTGGGATTGTGTCTCTTCGCACACCTTATCCTCTGCAGAAACTTTGTTCTGCCATTCATTTGATGGCTAAATATTCTTCCACAGAACTGAAAAATGTTTTTGCTAATATATCATTTTATTGTTTTGGCATTATAGATGTGTTTGACCAGAGCAGATATCACTCACCTTAAAATACATATTTTTCAGTTTTTAGACGTAGGTATCAAAACCGCTGTGAGCAATTTTGTCAGTTATCCTCTGTCAGTCCTGACAGAAGCTGCCTGACTTAAATGACCTGGTATTCAAATGACTTACCAGTATCATTAGGGTGGCCTGACTGACTGCTTGTAATAGGAAAACCTTCTCATTTTTTTTTTTTTTTTTTCTTTTTCTGAGATATGTTTTAAATTTGGTTTTCCTCTTAAAATGGCAAAAATGTTCCTCGACTACTCTGAGTTACATTTTTAAAAAAATATATATTCTTTTAACCAGTAGTCACGTCTAAGCAGGTGGTGTTTTTATCAGGTTTCAGGTAGAAAATTCTCACTTTTGAAGTCATGATTGGGCGTGGCAAGAAGTACAGCATATTTCAAACTGCCATTCAGTCCTAATTGTCTGGAACGCAGTGCTGTCATGAACCTCAAGAATCATATCAGCAAGTTTCATCATGCCACTGTCATGGTGTGCATTGGGTTGCCAGTGATTAATGTGCATTTTGAAATTACTTTCTCTACATACTGTATATCTCTGCAGCCTTTTTTTTTTTTTCGACGGTTGGTAGGTGCCTTCCTGGCTGCTTGTATGTGACTGGCTGAACACTGTCTGCATTATATTAATGCAGTATATCAAGATGACCTAGTGGCTTTCACTCTTTTCATACACAGACAATGCTCAAACCAAACAACATTCTTCTAATTATTACTTTGGTTGCTTCACTTTACATAATCTAGTTTCCTAAAGCTTAAGTGTACTGTAGTTTTTTATATTTATGGCACCAGGACAGTGTTTGTGGGACTGCGTTAAAATAAACTGCAATGCCTAGGTTTGTTGTAAAGCAGGACCATGACACCCAGTGCAACTGATGAAAAAATGGAGCTCTGGCACAAAGGAATATACACAGATAATTGCGTCAATTCTTTGTTGTTTTGGTGTTAGCTTAGGGCATCTAATGGGATGAATGAATAGCAATTTTGGGCTTGTTCACCTTTACACCTGTAACTATAAAAAAAACACATCAAGTATTGACAGGACTGGATCTTTTATTCATAAGATGAGTGAATGCATGTTTAAGTAAATATTACAAAACTGTGTCCAGGACAAGACAGCAATTCCTTGTTGACATTGGCAAAGCATGACTTGGAAAAGCAAATAATATTTGCATACGTTTAAAATCTAAAGCCACTCATGATCTTTAGTATAAGTCATACCTATACGCAGCACAGTTTTTGCTAAACAGCTATATTTCAACATGATCTGCACACTGGAAAAGGTAGCTTAACATCTGCATCTCTGGCGGGCTTCTTATGATCACAGTGCACTGTCCAACAACAATTACTAGTATTTGGAGGGAGTGGTTCACTCTGTTTGTCGGGTCAGTGTTTGATAATCAGTGGTGAACATCATGACGGCCTTCGTCCTCACCCTCTATTTCATCATCTTCATATTCCCCCATCTCATCAGCTGTGGCGTCCTGGTACTGCTGATACTCAGACACCAGGTCATTCATGTTGCTCTCAGCCTCAGTGAACTCCATCTCATCCATTCCCTCTCCAGTGTACCAGTGGAGGAAGGCCTTGCGACGAAACATGGCTGTGAACTGTTCAGAGAGCCTCCTGAACAGCTCCTGGATGGCCGTGCTATTGCCAATGAAGGTGGCGGACATCTTGAGACCACGAGGAGGAATGTCGCAAACAGCGATTTTGACATTGTTTGGAATCCATTCAACAAAATAGCTGCTATTTTTGTTCTGCACACTCAACATCTGCTCATCCACTTCCTTCATTGACATACGGCCACGGAAGATGGCTGCCACAGTGAGGTAGCGCCCGTGACGAGGGTCACAGGCCGCCATCATGTTCTTAGCATCGAACATTTGCTGTGTGAGCTCTGACACAGAGAGGGCACGATACTGCTGACTACCCCGGCTTGTGAGAGGCGCAAATCCTGGCATGAAGAAATGCAAACGGGGGAAGGGCACCATGTTGACGGCCAGTTTACGGAGGTCAGCGTTGAGTTGGCCAGGGAAACGGAGGCAGGTGGTCACTCCACTCATGGTGGCTGATACCAAGTGGTTGAGGTCTCCGTATGTAGGTGTGGTCAGCTTCAGTGTGCGGAAGCAGATATCATACAGAGCCTCATTGTCAATGCAGAAGGTCTCATCTGTGTTTTCCACCAGCTGGTGGACAGAGAGAGTGGCGTTGTAGGGCTCCACCACAGTGTCAGACACCTTTGGGGATGGCATGACGCTGAAGGTGTTCATGATGCGGTCAGGGTACTCCTCACGGATCTTGCTGATGAGCAGTGTGCCCATTCCTGAGCCTGTACCTCCACCCAGTGAATGTGTAAGCTGAAAGCCCTGGAGGCAGTCGCAGTTCTCAGACTCCTTCCTCACGACATCCAGTACCGAGTCCACCAGTTCAGCTCCCTCGGTGTAGTGACCCTTGGCCCAGTTATTTCCTGCCCCACTTTGACCTGCATGATGTAATGTTTAAAGACAAAATGTATATTATAACGTTTTTGTTAAGGCATACTGTACTTTATAAAAAGGTTTAGAAGCTGTTGCTGTCTTTATTAATGGATTGTCATTAATTTTGTACAAACATAGGTGGTCCCCAAAAGATGGATCCTAATGACCATGGTGACCTTGTATTTTTCATCTGGAACCACCAAGAGTTGCCATTTTTATTTTTAAGTTACATGTCCAGAAAATTATTGAACACTTTTCCATAATATTTGGTACCGATATTCAAGGCTTCCAGACTCTTACACCTTTACCTTACATGGTAAATAATAGTCCTGGTGACTTACAGTAAAATTCTTTGGTTTAGGATAATAAAAATGTTTTCATAATTACAAAGTCACAGTCAGACACGGCTGCAAATGGACAATGCATCACACCGCTGGCACATCGCTGAGAGGCTGCAGACACTTTGTGCTAGGAATATACAGCACTGTGCAGTGCCATCTTATGAAACTAGCTTTACAAGATATGACAGCATTTGCTGACATACTGTATGTGCAGTTGGTTAGGGATGAGTGGTGTCCACTCACCGAAAACAAAGTTGTCAGGTCTGAATAGCTGTCCAAATGGGCCAGAGCGAACTGAATCCATGGTTCCTGGCTCCAGGTCCACAAGAATGGCACGGGGGACATATTTGCTGCCTTTTAATGAAAAATTGAACAGAGGACAGAGAGACAGGAGGACATAATAGATGGAAGGGTGGAGGAAGATATCAACAGTCTCAGTATGCATGACAGAACATTCCTAGAGAACCACAGGGGAATCACTTGACTGTACTTTAAATTATTCTTTTTTCCATAGTACTGTAGTTATACTGCTAAAAGTATCTTCATGCAGCAAGCTCAAAGATCCTTTTGTTTAAAGGATACTACAGCCTGTCCATCAAGCTGGATAGTTGACTGCATGGTGCCTTCTGTTTGTTTCTTGTGCTTTACTTTCCTCCGCCCTCTCTCTAAGTAACCTCTCTTGCAAGAGCACCGCTGTAGCATGCTGCACTGCTTGTTCTAATCCAATGACACTCTCTCAGCACTGTTTTGAAGTTACTTGGACTGTCTCGTCTCTCAGAGTTAGCAATGGTCACAAGAACCAAAGACCAACAGAAACAAAGATTATTAAAGCCAGCTGGTAGGAAATAGGAAAACAGAAGACATGAATATGCAGTGTGGCCTTCCTGTGCAAGACTTTGATTTAGCCAAAGTCAATGGGTGGGTGCTGTTTAATCTCAATCCTGGGTAAACATGGATCGAGATCTGTGCTGATTCATTATTCTCCAAAAGCATCAGTCCAAAATATGAAGCCCTAGTGCTACAGCAGTGTTTTATGATTAGTGCACTTTAATTCAGCAAGTAACGTTGGAATGACTTTCAATATGCCGATAAAATCATGTGCTGAGATGAGACCGAGGCACAGTAGGTTTGGGTCAGTTATACAGAGACTGCAGATACCTGTACTCCCTACAGAGAGAGATAGAGAGAGGGAGAGAGACATAGGGAGACAAAGAGAGAGAGATTTTAGCTTGTTCATTGTCCTAGTTTAGCATTCCCCTTGCAGCTAAATTAGTGACATGACTATGCTGTGGCATTCAAATGAGGTATAGGGACATGCAAGGATAATGAACAATGTAAACAAGGCTTTATGTAGCGGTAAGTTAGTCAAATGCAAAAATGCGTCGTATGTAAAACTAGCTGGGCCATTGGTTTTACCTGATGCCTCGTTGTAGTAGACATTTATTCTCTCCAGCTGTAGGTCACTGTCACCTTGGTAACTACCAGTGGGATCGATGCCATGCTCATCACTTATCACCTCCCAAAACTAAGATGAAATAACACAATCACATCATCATCAATTGCTGAGGCCATTTAGCAATACAACGTGGCGTGAAAACGAGTTGCAGCATATGCGTCAGGCCTTATTTTAGTGTTGCGCATCTGCTTGGCGACAAAATGACGCACAACTGTGGAGGCCACATCGCTGCAGCCCCTAGCTCCGAGCAAAGCCCAGCCCTACTTAACCACACCCTGCACATAGGCTATATAAACAACCGATCAACTCAAGCTTTCTAAGATGCACTTCCTTGTTCAAGAAACGCTAAACTAACCGTGTAAAGACTCGGATGATTCGGCACAAAAAATTGACCGTCTCCTTGCATTAAGATTACAATTACCCCGTTAATTCCCCACTTCTCAAATTAAATAATATTTATACCTTCGCCCCAATTTGGTTTCCACACTGCCCTGCCTGGATGTGAACAATTTCCCTCATGGTGCGCTGCGGATGCGGGAAAAGAACGTCCTGTTTCGACTTCACCAGCGTCCAATCCTCAGTCTCTTGTCGCTGTGTTTCCCAAAATCAGAACTTGCCTCTTTTCTAGGGCGAGTGTTGAGCCGGAGAAATAGATAAACGTGCTGCTGGTCAGATGACGCGACACACAGCGCAGCACCATAATATTTCCGTCAGCCAATAGGAGCGCCCCGGTTTGATGCAGTGGCCCAGAGCATCATGCGGCATCACTCTCCTGACATCACCCTAACCAATGCAGGCCAAATGTTCTTCCATGGATTTAAGGCTTTCTCTAGATTCTAAACAGTTGTTTTCGCTGCCAGGAAATGTAAACATTTAATTTTAATACTGAAGGCTGCTGTCCCGATTCAGTCAGTGAGATGATGAATGATGCTTAACATGTTCAGGAGCACCTATGTAGTAAGTTATACTGCATCTGTAAAAAAAAAAAAAAAAAGAGGGTGTTGTTTAAAGCACCAAGTTGAATTTTATATTTTAATTAGACATTGCAGAGCCAAACTCAGAGATTCCAATGCAGTGTGTAAAATGCAAATGTGTAGAAAATGCTGCAGGGCTAAATTAGGACTCCAGGAGACCCAGAGGCAAAAATAAGCTGTGCCCCCCCCCGCCAAT